TTTTTTTTTTTTTTTTTTTTTTTTTTTTCTTTCATGTTAAGAATTGAGTTCCTTCTGTTACAGTAGGCACCAAAGGAAGCACGATAATCTACGAGTTTTCCATCAATCGTCCCGGTTCAAGGTAACTTTGTCGTTCTATTATTCGGCCTCGAAAGGAATAACCAAACCAACCTTGTTGGCTGATCAATCTCAAAGATTATATCGGCCGACTGTCGGCCACAACGACTACATTACTGACAAACTCGACCTTATTGGTACTGGAGGTCCTAGAAACTTTCCTTTTTTTGATGAATAGCCAAATCAACCCAACTGATTGGTCAATCTCAATGATTATATCGGCCGGAAAATCGGAGATGGACAACCACAGTCTCAACCTTATTAGCATCTTTGGGCTTCCCAAAAAACCTCATACCAATGGAGAGTATATTCTTTTGTGACTAAGTTTAGGGTATAACTCTGATACCATGTTAGACGAACACGACTCTCCACAATGGTATGATATTGTCCACTTTGAGCATAAGCTCTCATGGCTTTGCTTTGGGCTTCCCAAAAAGCCTCATACCAATTGAGATTATATTCTTAGATTATAAACTCATGACCATTCCCTAACTTAACTAATATGGGCCTCATACCAATTGAGATTATATTCTTAGATTATAAACTCACGATCATTCTCTAACTTAACCAATGTGGGACACTTTCATCTAACATACGGTTAGTAAAACGCTAAATTGTACACCGTTCAACTATACGATTTTTGTTGAACACAGTTCAGAACTTTAGTATTAGTAAAATGTGAACAAACTATAAACTAAACTCAGTTTTGGCATGTAATGGCTGATGAATGGCTTTACATTTCAGGCCTTCCCGCCGTTAACATCAATAACTAGACGATCTGTCGTCATGGCACAAAGGCAAGTGCCAATGCACAGAAAGAAAATACCATAACAAAATATCGAAACCGAATCCGCCAGAGGCTTTCCGACATGTCGTCAGTGTAATCCGGGCCAGACCCAAGAACATAGCCACCACCACCATTAGAGCCAGTGGTCCACATGCCCAAATTGTTGTCCCTACTGCCGACGCCGAGTGGACCGGCGTGCCAAGTGAGCTGGTCGATTAGGGCGGCGGACTTGGGCTCGACGCTGTAAGCCTTCTCGTACTTGACTTCGAGGCCTTGGCCGGAAGTGATGAAGAAGGCGCCGTTGACGAGGATGTCGCCGTCAGAGCGCCAGTTCCAGCCGCGCCACTCGGACTCGGCGGTCTCTACACGCTTGGTTACCTCCTTGGCGTTGCGGTCGTATGGGGCGGTGTAGCGGTTGCCTTGGCTGTTGATTGTGGGGTTCCCGCTGCCTCCGATTGCGTACATTTCCCATTGGGTGAAGTCGTTGTTGACCACGTGGATGTAGCCTCGCCGGCACCGTGGCATCCTTTGCACAAGCTTCTCGCCGAAGTGGTTGAATGCTATTGTTACCTTGAATTGGATCATAGAATTTAGTCTTAATTTTTTTAAAAAATCAATGCCTTGAGAGAGAAACAAGGAAAAAGGGAGATGGAATTCACCTGCATTCCGGAGTCCGGCGAGTAGCTGTCACTGTGACCTAGTAACATAACCTCATCGTGATGCGAGAAATAATTGTTTGAAATCGTGATTCCGGTGGAGCCCATCACCGCATCAATCAGCCCATCCTTGCAATGCGAGAGTGAACAATGGTCAATCCATATGTCCTTAGACCCGAAGATCGAGATCCCGTCGCCGTCCGATTTCGTACGGTATCCGTAATGCGTCGGACTTGATCGGACCATGGTGTTCCCTGTAGAACCACGGCCAGGGACGAGTTTCAGATCGATGTATTTCGTCCAATATTAAGGTGAGTAAGGATTTTTCGATTTTCGATTTCGTTACCTGATGGATAACAATGGTGGATGTGGATATTGTGGATGATGATGTTACTTATGTATTGCAAGGTGATGCAACCGCCGCCGACGATGTGGACGTTGGCGCCGCGGCCGTCTAGGGTTTTGTAGCTGTTGAAGATGAGTTCCTGTGAGAGTTTGATGAGCATATTGGCGGGGAAGACGATCCAGAGAGGCTGTGGCTGTATAACGGCGTATCGTAATGTCCCGGGCTCTGGATTGACTGGATCATCGTCGGAATCATCTGTGACGACGTAGAACTCACCGTTCTTCCCTCCTAAAGCGTACTGGCCAAATCCTATGGCGCAATCGGCGAGGCGTTGGCGGTTGTTTGGCCAATTTGAATCGCATTTCCAGCAGTCGTCGATGGGGTTTCCGGTGTAGCAGGAAGAAGATTCGTCGTTCTCTGAGTTTTGGATCAGTTGCCTTCTTGTCATGGAATCATTCACTTTCCTACGACAGGTAAGAATTTCCTTTCAGACTTATAGAAATTCATTGAACTTAGCGTTAAAACCTTCAAAACTGAAAAATGATTTGATGGAAGGATAGACGAAGAATGCAGGAAATAAGAACATAGTGATTTTCAGTGCTAGCCAGAAAACAGAGTAGCCAGGAACTGTAGTGAAAGAACAGTGCATGAATCTAACGACGAACATAGTGATTATGCAATGTTTTTCTAGAAAAAAAAAAAAAAGCATGAATCCAACGAAGAACAGTGCATGTTGATCAAAATAAGAAACGAAAAGCAAAATCTGAGTGGAAATGGATTTTTCAAATTGAAAAAAAGAATCCACAAACAGGGCAACCAAGAACATACTAACAAAAATTGAAGAATGGTCAAGAAAAAAGAGCAATCAAGAACATATAACAGAGAGAACTGCATCTAAACTTGATTTTTGTACATCTAGTGCAAGAAATCATACAAAAAGATGCATAAAAATCTTGAAATGGGACAATGAAGTCCAAAAACTCAACAATGTGGCAAGAACATGGTGATTTGAAAACAACATTCTTGAATCTGAAATGGAAAAATGATGGACCTGTGAACTTCTTGAGCAACCAGTTCAGGGCTCGGATGCTGGCCGGGGAGGGTGAGGTTGAGAGCGGTGCATGGCGGCGAGAGGGAGTGTAGCAGCAAAGCTAGCAGCACAATACAGATTGCAGCCACCATTTTGGAGAGCAAAAATTGTAAGCTCTCTTTCTCTCACTCTCTCTGCAATTGTGTTAGAACTGTCAACTGTTCTTCATTTTTTTGCCTTCCATGTTACCCTCAAAAGCATTGTGAATTCTCATCCTCCTGTGCTATATAATCATTTTCAATGACTTTTGGGATTCAGTTAGAGAGAGAAAGGGGGGAGAGAGAATCTTCGGTTCTCGAGGAGGAAAGTTGTATCCAATTTACTTCGGCACAAAATAAGTTTATTTCAAGGTAATTGATCTTCTATCTTTTAGTCGAAATTATAATATCCTCTAAACTAGACTCATGAAAAGTTCTTGATCCTCTGTCTTTGAGTCGAGATTATAATATTTGAAACCCTTAAATTATGGTTATGAAGAGTTCTTGATCTTCTATCTTTTAGTCGAAATTATAATGTCTTAAACCTTAAAACTATGTTTATGAAGGGTTCTTGATCTTCTGTCTTTTAGTCGAGATTATGATATCTTAAACGTTTAAACTACGCTTATGAAGGGTTCTTGATCCTCCATCTTTTAGTCGAGATTATGATATCTTAAAACCTTTAAACTAGGCTTATGAAGGGAATCAATGAAGGGTTCTTGATCCCCTCTTTTAGTCGAGTTTGTGATATCTTAAACTTTTAAACGAGGCTTATGAAGGGTTCTTGATTTTCTATCTTTTAGTCGAGATTATGATATCTTAAATTTTCAAACTAAGCTTATGAAGGGTTCTTGATCCTCTATCTTTTAGTCGAGATTATGATATCTTAAATCTTCAAACTAAGCTTATGAAGGGTTCTTGATCCTCTATCTTTTAGTCGAGATTATGATATCTTAAATCTTCAAACTAAGCTTATGAAGGGTTCTTGATCCTCTATCTTTTAGTCGAGATTATGATATCTTAAATCTTCAAACTAAGCTTATGAAGGGTTCTTGATCCTCTATCTTTTAGTCGAGATTATGATATCTTAAATTTTCAAACTAAGCTTATGAAGGGTTCTTGATCCTCTATCTTTTAGTCGAGATTATGATATCTTAAATCTTCAAACTAAGCTTATGAAGGGTTCTTGATCCTCTATCTTTTAGTCGAGATTATGATATCTTAAATCTTCAAACTAAGCTTATGAAGGGTTCTTGATCCTCTATCTTTTAGTCGAGATTATGATATCTTAAACCTTTAAAATAGGCTTATGAAGGGTTCTTGATCCTCTATCTTTTAGTCGAGATTATGATATCTTCAACCTTCAAACCAGACTTATGAAGGGTTTTTGATCCACCATCTTTTAGTCGAGATTATAATATCTTAAACCCTTAAACTACGCTTTGTTACTCTGTTAGTGTTTTATAACAAAACATCCTGAAATAAAGATAATGAAAACGAAAACAGAGGTGGCAGAAGATGATTGGTCTGTATAAATAACAAAACATATTTAGTTTAGATTTTGGAATGGGATAATTCTGGTGAGTAAAGTAGGTAATGTGAAGAGAAAAGCGCTTTCTTTTTGACTGTCGGACTGCATCATTGAAGATTGGCTACCTGCTGTTCCCCATTCTGTTCCTCTCAGTTTACATTTTTGTAACAAAAGATCCCAACCAATTGGTCAGGTGGAAAAGGGATGTTCTTCGCCCTTTCCTTCAATATTTCCTTTTGTATCTTCTTAACTTAATGGTAGGCAATGAGCGTTTCTACTATAGGCCACGCATTGACGGGGCTGGCCACTCGAGCTCCGCATTTCAAGTTCGTCAATTACTAGATGCGTGACCGAGTTCTCGGTTTTGGCAGTTAGGACTTTGGTTCACTTCTACGCATTCTAAGGTAGTTTTGAAGGATATCTGTCCATTCTTATTTTGTTCAACTTTTCTAGGCCTCATGAATGAGAACTTATCTCATTCTTCGAGCCACCCAAAAAGCAAGCTATTACAACGAATAACTGAAAAAGGGAAATCATGCTCTCGGTGGGATAGAATGGCTCGTACAAGTTATTAATGAGGAGTACTTATGTATAAATTTATAAAGAAACTTCCTTGAAAATGTTTATTTATTTATTTAATTTCTGTTAGTTTCTATAAATTTGATAATTATTTTATTATAAAATTTATTTTACCCTTTGTTTGAGTTTCTATAAAAAAAAAGAATTTCTTCATTTGTACTTATTTATTTATTTAACCGATGGTAAATAGTAAGTAATAGTAAGTAATCCACCATTTCCGGCCTATAACAAGGCACGAGCGGTCAAAAATGGAACGCGTTATTCTTCCCTTTTTTAAAAGACATCGGGCTCTTAAAGGAGTTTTATAGCTCTTAAGAATAGGATGATTAAGAAAGACTAAACAAAAATGAAAGTTACTGCTTATATTATATTTAAAGTAAATCTATGTCAAGGTGTTTCATAATTGTTGTTCTTACACAGAATAGAGATGTAATTAAATGGTTAAACGACAAAATTAGTCTTTATAATTAAAAAATAAAATAAAATTTAGCGGTTTAATATTAGAAATAATTCATAAAACCTTAAAAATAACAGTAAAATTTTAATTCATAATAGTTCTTATAATTTTTAAAATTTTATGGACTGAATTTTAATTTTGTTTAAATGATAAGTATCAAATTTGTAATTTAATATAATTAAATTTAGGCAAAGGATATTAACTCTCAATTTGAGTGTTTTAAAAAAATTAAAAATGTTTTTAAGCCTTTTTTTTTAATATATTCAAAATTTCTAGAAAACAAAACATTCATATATTTTAGTTACATTTTAATAATTTTTTTATTCACAGTATTATTATTTATTGCAACAAGCAATTCAATCGTTTATTTCCGCGCGTTGTTTTTAAATGTTCCTGATATAAAAATCGCCATGGGAGAATGAAACAAGCGGGAAGCAAAATCACTGTTCAATATCCACTGAACTCCGAAATCTAAAGCGCCATTATCGGACCTGCGAAGCTTTCGTTACAGAAATAGGAGTTGATAGTTGAGACGCTGCTAGGATTCTTTCCATGCCGGACTCTTTCCCTTCTTACGTTGACATTCAGAACGTTCTTGTTGACGGGGAGCAGTATGAGGTTGAAGATAGTGACGACGGGGAAGAGGAAGAGGAAGATGACGATGAAGAAACTGATGATGGTGAAGAGACAGTCGAAGGGCATGCGGAAGAGAATGCTGATAATGTAATTGAGGCGCAATCGCCCAGGGCTTCTCAAACGGGTCCTTCGAGATCTGGTCAAGCTAGGGTTTCGTTTTGGGTCGAGGAAGAGGAAGACAAGCGGAGAAGGACCGACGGTGGAGAAGCGAGTTCTTCAAATGGCGTTGGAAGTGTGGAGATTTCACAAGGGAATGAGTGGAATCGGAATGAAATTGACGGATTGTTTTGCCCTATTTGCATGGAGGCATGGACCAATTACGGTGACCATCATATTTGGTACGTGCAACTAATCTTTTTTCCTCTCTCGCTCGCTTTCTCTTTTTTTCTATATGTATATATTTTGTTTGGATCTTGTATGCGTGTGATAGGTTTTTCTTTTCACGCATTATGTAACTTATCAATTTTTATAATGAAAACTTGTCACTTTTGGGAAAAAAAAATACAAAACAACTATGATTGATGGCTAATTTCTCAGTTCAATTTTCCACTTTTATTGATGACGGTTTATAAGATTTTTTCCATGAGGCTATATAATTAATTGTTCATGAAATTTTGTTGCTAGTTTAGATTTGAACTTGCTCAATTGCCTACACTTCGGAGCTGTCCTGTTCTTCTTCTTCTTCTTCTTCTCAAAAACAAAAAAGTTATCCTTGTAGGACATAATTTCAAATGCTTCATCATGTATATATAACTCTACTTTGAATAGTTTGATTTGATGATTTAAGGGCATGTATTATTTTCAGAAATGTATATATGTGGTCTCTCTTAATCAGGCCTTTTATTTTCGCAAGTCTTAGATAGTCAGGGGTAGAGCCAATGAATTAACAAATGAACTAGATCATTATCCATTTTAATGGGCCCTGAAGTCATAGTTCGTCCGAGGAAATCAATAATAAAAATAAAATAATAATTAAGTTCCTAAAGTCATCTAACTGTCTCATGTTACTGCAGCTGTCTTCCTTGTGGGCATCTATATGGCATGTCTTGTATCAATAGATGGCTGCAACAACGTAGAAAGGCAGGGAAGGTATCCGTCTACACAATGATTTAAGTCATGGATTTGGACAAAATTATGAATAGTGTACTAAAAAATTAATCTTTACCCCCTCCCACAAAAAAAAAAAAAAAAAAAAAAA